CCTCCCCCGGCCCCGCCGCCCGCCCGCTCCGCTCCGCCGCGGCCGCAGCCCCCTCCGCCGGCCGCAGCCGCTCCCTGCACCCGCCGCGCCCGGCCCCGCGTGGGGACCCACGGGGGAGCGGCGGGGTCCCGGGCGTACCGTGGGAGGGTGACCCCGGGATGGGGAGCGCGGGGATCACGGGGATCACGGGACGGGGACGGTGGCAGTGGCAGGGTGCGTGATGGGAGCCCTGACGGTGCCCACGGGGATGTGGTGACAGCGACAACGAGGACGGGGGGTGGTGAGAGCAGGGTGGGGGGCTGTGTGGAGAGGGGCTAAGGGAAGTGCCCACCCGGGTTGGGGACGGCAGCCACAGGGAGCTGGGGACCGTGCCCGCAGGGTCCCCGGGGTGGTGCCAGTGGTGGGGTGAAGCTGCTGGCCACAGGATTTTGGGACGGTGCTCACGGGGATGTCGTGACAGTGACAACGGGGATGGCGGCCACGGCGAGGCGGGCTGCACCGAGGGGGCACCGGAGACGGTGCCCAGGGAGGCCCAGGGGGATGCCCGTGGCAGGGTGGGGATGGTGCCCACAGGGACTGGGAACAGACTCCCACGGGGATGCTGTGACAGTGACAACCTGGTGTCCACGAGGGCAGGGCATGGCACCCGCAGGGAGCAGGGGACGATGCCCACGGCGATGCTGTGACAGTGACAGTGGGGACCGGAGGGGCTGCCCACAGGATTTGGGGACAGCATCCAGGAAGGGCTGGGACGGTGCCCTCGCTGGGTGGCGGTGGGGTGGAGATGATGCTCATGGAGATCTGGGACGGCGCCCAGGGGGGTTGGTGACAGTGCCCACGAGGCAGGGGCAGCTCCACACCCCGGGGTGCCCAGCTCGGCCCGAGGAGGGGCACACACCAGACACGGGGGTCCCACTCAGATCCACACCGCCCCGGGCAGGATCCGGTTCCGCAGGACACCCGCACGTCGGGGGGCCCTGCCCCTGCGCCCCCCGGGGGATGTGTGGGACGGGGGTCGTACCCCGCTGTGGGGCCGGAGCCGGAGCCGCTGTGGGGCCGGGGATGGCTGCGTGCACCGGGAGCCCGGGGGGATCACCGGGGAGGGCGCTGAGGGTCGCCCCCCTGAGCCCCCCGACCCGCCCGTGCCACCCCACCCCCTTCCCAGCAGCCCCTGCTCCCAGCCCCCCCTTTTCCTCTCCGGACTACACGTCCCGTCATGCCCGGGCTTAAAGCGGCTCTGCCGCCCCCCCACCCCCGCCCGGAGCCCCGCAGCTCGGCCCTGGGACCCCCGGAGGGTTCAATCTGGCCGCCCCCCACCCCCCAGCCCCGTGGGTACCCCCCTCCCTGGGCTGCACAGGCTGCGGTGACACCCAGGGGATGGGGGGGATGGGGGGGTCTCCCGGGCATGAAGGAGAGGAGGATCCCCAAGGGATGAAGGTTTCCTTGGCAGGGGTGTACCCAGGGGATGGTTTCCCACGCTCGGGGAGCGCAGGCAACACCCGGGGAAGGGGGGTCCCCAGCGGCTCTCAGGGCTGCTCAGAACGGGGACAACAAGGGGACAGTGCTGCCTGGGGAACGGGGATCTCCAGGGGATGGGGGACCCAGGAGAGGGGGCACCCAGGGGATGGGGTACCCACGGGATGAGAGTCCCCAGGGGATGGGGGTACCAAGGAGAGGGGGTACCCAGGGGATGGAGGTCCCCAGGGGAGGGGGCACCCAGGGGATGGAGGTCGCCAGGGGAGGGGGTGCCCAGGGGAGGGCGTACCCAGGGGATGGAGGAGAGTGACACCTGGGGCTGCTGGTGGGTGTCCCTACAGACCCCGCTGGACCACTGGACCTCCTGCTGCTGCTGGTCCCCAAAGCCCCCATAGATCCCCTGGTCCCTGGGTCACCCTGGGGCCCTCATCCGCCTGGCTGGCGGGGCAGCAGCAGCGTGACGGCCCCCCCGTCCCTCCCCGCCTGTTCCGTACACTTTATCCTCAGCAAACACGGCACGGCCACGGCCCCCCGCGGCCGTCTGCCCGCGATAAGGCTGGGGCCGAGCTCGCCTGCCCCCAGCCCGTGGGACTCGGCCATCTCAACACCACCTCCTGTCCCCAGATCCCCCCGCCCGAGGCTGCCTGGCAGCCCCCATGCCGGTGGGGAAACTGAGGCAGGGCTAGAGTTTGCCTGTGGCCCCTCTGGAGCATAGGGACAGGCACCTCTCACACTCATCACCAGCTCCCTGTCCCCCATGAGGTGCCCCCAGGGCCACCACAAATCTCTCTGCAGTGCCCCAGCAGGGTGGGGACCCTGTGCCCTGTGGCAGACCCTGATCTGGGGGGATTTGGGATTTAGAGGGGCTGTGCTGCTCATCGAAACACGCTCAACAAAATTCATCCTGCTGCTCTGCGGCAGAGACACTAAATATAACCCCAAATCAGCAGTGGTGCCCCCCAGGCCCCCCAGGAAGGGGATGACACCCAGCACCTCCATCCCCAGCACATGGGGCAGCACCCACCACCAGCTGGGGGGTCTGGACAGCCCCACGGGGGTGTCCCCCCAGCCCGGATCAGATCCTTCACACCCCACCAAACACCAGCCACCAGCCATGTGCCCCCCAGCAGGATGTGGCATCAGAGCTCCCAGCCACCCCACCGACCCCGTGGGAAGGGGAAGCCCCTCACGCTGGCCCCCGCTCGCCCCTCGCTTGCCCCCGGCGCTGGGAACGGCCCCAGCCCCTTCCGGGCCCCCCCCTCGGCCCCGGGCCGGAGGCAGCTGTGCCGGGGCGCCCTGCCAAGGCGCCGAGACCTCGACGCCTTCCCCCCACCCGGCCGCCCCCGCGGCGCCCCGGGGAGCTGCGACCCCCCAGCACACCCCATCAGCGCCACCACCCCCTGTCTGCCCCCTGAGTTTGGGGGTGCTGCCGGGGGGGGCTCCTCAGAGCCCCTCCTGCCTGGGGACCCCCGTGGTGTCTGTTCCCCGGCCAGCTGTGGGAAGTGGCCCCCCCTGCACAGGAAATCCCTCCTCATGGACAGGGCTGCCCCGGCGGGACCCCCCCCCCCCGCTGCCGGGGCCCCTCGCCGGCTGGGCAGCCGCTTGCCCGCCTAATCCCGGCCCCGGCACGGGGGGATTTGCTGCGCCCCGGCCCCATGAATGATTAACCGGGGAATTAAGGGGCCGCGAAGCCCCCCCCCCCCACCCCGAACGGCGGGGGCAGTGGGTGACTGAGCTCCCACCCCGGCGCTCTGCTCCTGAGCCTTGGGGGTTCCCCTGGCGAGTTCTGGGGGTACTGACACAGTTAGGGGTGCTGAGGGTTTTGGGGGGGGGGCTGGGAGTGTTCGGGGGGTGTTTGGGTTGCAGGTTCTGGAGGTGTTGGGGGCTACTGGGGGCATTCTGGGGGGGTTTTTGTGCTGGGAGTGCTGGGGGGGGGCTGGCAGTTCTGGGGGGCTGCCCCCCGGCCTTGCTCCCCATCCTCCCGTTGCCATGGCAACGGCTGGCACCATCCCTGGGGATATTTTTAGCTGCTGGTGCTGCAGGGAGGGGGTGGGGGGCAGCCCAGGCCCATGGCTGTGCCACGTGTGTGCACACACGTGTCTGCAGCACACGGCCGTGCACACCCGCGTGTGCCCAGCCCTGCACGGCTACCTGGCTGTGCACACCTGCCCGGGGGTGCTGCTGTCTGCACACGTGTGCAAGAACACGCACACGCACATGCACACTCTCCTGTGCATCCTCACGCATGCACACACCTGCCTGTGAGTGTGCACACATTTGCACACCTGCCCACACAGACGTGCTGGGAGACTCAAGCTGCCACCCCAGAGCCTTTGCACACTCACCCCTCTGCACCATGTTTGCACATCCCTTGTTTTTACACTCACCCCCTGTTTGCACATCCCCTGTTCTCACACTCCCCCCGGTTTTGCACGACTCCTCATTTTCACACATGCCCCATATTTGCACCCTCCCCCCGTGTTTGTACCCCCCTCCACCTTTCCACACCCCTGCTATTTGCACACCCCCCCGTTTGCACACACCCGTGTTTACATCCCCCCATTTTCACCCCATGTTTGCACACACCCCCTATTTGCACACTCACCCCGGTGTTTGCGTAGCCAAGTCCTATTTCTACACTCAGCCCCACGTTTCAACACACACACCCCCCGTGTTAGCCCGCTCTCCCCTGTCTGCTCACCCACACGGTGTTTGTACTCTCACCCCGCTGTTTGCACACTCGCCCCCCGTTCCCACCCACCCTTTGCACACTCGCTCCCGCCCCCGCCCGGCCTAGCCCCCCGAACTACAACTCCCATCACCCCCCGCGCCCGCCGTGCCCCGCCGCCCAATCAGCGTGCGGCTTCTTGGCAGGTGCCGCAATGGCGGTGCCCAGGCGCTGAGGGCGGCGCCGGGCCGCGGTGAGGGGCGGCGGGACCCGGCGAGACCCGCGGCCACCGAACCTCCGGGGCTCCGGGGGGGCTCCGGGGCGGCTCCGAGCTGCCCCAGGCCCGGGGAGCGGGCAGACACCCAGCTGCTGCTCTCCAAAGCGCTGGGCCGCTTCCCCGCTGTCGCCGGCCTGCTCTGCCCTGCCCGGCCGGGTCAGGGCTCCGTCGCCCTCGCCTTGAGCTGTCCGTCCGCAGGGTGACCATGAAGGTGGTGAACCTGAAGCAGGCCATCCTGCAGGCCTGGAAGGAGCGCTGGAGCGACTATCAATGGGCCATAAACATGAAGCGGTTCTTCCCCCGCGGAGCCACCTGGGACATCCTCAACTTGGCAGGTCGGGGGGTTCCCCCTCCTTACTGGGCGCACTGGGCTGTTTTGGGGGTCCCCACGCGTGTCTTTGGGTGTTGCCCAGTGTTCCCCCGCTTTGGGGTGCAGACGGGTATTTTGGGGATCCCTGTTGCATTTTGGACCCCCATTCCCACACTGCTTTTCACGCCAAAATTCCCGTTCCCAACCGTGTCAGCCCATTCCAAACTGTCCCCCCCACCCCTTTCTCACCCTCCTGGCTCCGTTTTTGGGGTCATTCCCTCCTTTTTCCCCCCGGGATGGTTCAGGGATCAGCACAGCATAGCTTTTGGGACAAGAGAAGCAGCTTCGAGTTGAGCAGGAGAGAATTAAGTTGGAAATGAGGAGAAATTTCTTCACTGAAAAGGTGGTTAGGCGTTGGAACAGGCTGTGGTGGAGTTACCATGTGGATGTGGCTCCAGGGGATTTGGGTTATGCTGAGATGCTCTTGGAGGTCTTTCCAGCCTTAATGATTCCCTGATTTCCTGATTCTAGCACTGCACGGGAGCCAGGTGCTGCTCCCAAGGCTGCTCCCCAGCCCAATTCAAGGGCATTTCACAGAAATCCTGCCAAAGGCTAGGACTGGTTTAAAGATTTGCCAGGCTCTCCTGCTAATTATAGAAACTTGGTGCTGGGATTTTCCCTGTGCAGCAAGTCCCGGGATAAATAAACAGAGCTGCTGCTCCAGGGGGTTTAAAGGAACCAGCCCCACACAGGCAGCAGCTCTCACTCCTCTGAGTGTGAGGATCTTTCCCCTGTGCTTGTTTTTCCCTTCTCTCCATCCTCCCGTTGGATTTTCTGTCAGTGTTTTTTGTCACACCCTGTCCCCACTGCTGAGCTTTGTCATCTCCGAGGTGTGGCTGGAGGGGCCAAATGGAGCTGTGGCCGTGGGGAGATGGATTTGCTCTGGATGGGTTTGCTGGGGGTGGGGGTGCTTGGCTCGAGGGCCAGTCCTGCTGCTGCCCAGCTGGTCCCTGGGGCTCCCAGGTGTCTGTCCCCACCCTGGTGGCACCAGCTCCTGCTCCTCTGGCAGCGGGGTGCTTGGCTTGGGCTCATCTGTGTATCCCCAAAAACAGACGCAGGGAGGATAATTCCCTATTATTTCTGCAGGAATGGGTTTCTCCTGGCTCACATTTAGCCAGGGCTCAGTGGCTTCTTTGGGGCAGCTCCTCTGCCAGGAGGAGAAGGAGCCCTCTCTGCCCTTCTCCTTTTGGGTGCCACACAGGCAGGATGCTGGCCTTGACCCTCAGCATTGTGTGCACACAGGGAGAGCCCATTCCCGAGGTCCTGATGGCTGGAACAGCAGCTCCCTTCCTCACCACATCCCCCAGAGCTGTCCTTTCCCAAGCTCGTGCCTTTCAGCTTGGAAGTACAAAGGAGGGAAAGCTGGCACGAGCTGCCAGGATCACGGCAGGGCCTGGCAGATCGCTGCTGACACGTCTGCAGCGAGGAGCAGCATGTGGCTGGCTCGTGGTGACACTCTGGGATGGGCTGGGGAGGGGACGGCTGCCACCAGCCTTCTGTCCTCATCCCAGACGCTCTTGGCCCAGGATTCAGCCTTGGAGTGACACCCAGGGAGTCTCCTGCACTCGGGATCCGGCGGTGGCTCCTCCTCCTTGGCTTTGGGGTGACAATTTCCCACCCGGCTGCTGCTCCCCCTTTTACATCTGGGTGCTCTGACCTACTTGCAGCCTGCTCTGCAGCCCGGGGCCTGCTCGGGGAGGTGCTTCCTGCACTCTGCCATGGTTCAAATGGGCAATTAAAGGCTTGGCTGAGCAGATGGGACGGGCAGAGCCCCTCGGGCCACCGAGGGCCAGACGGGCAGGGCTGCGCCCAGTGCAGGGGACTGGTGGCCCCAAGCTTAGCCCCAGGTGCCTGGGTGAAAGACACTCAGTGGAGGCTGCAGGAGCCTCCTGGCAAGAAGTGGGAGGGAGGGGAATGTGGAGAGCAGCAGCAGCAGTTTCGGGGCTGGAGCGCCCGGGGAGAGCCATGTTAGCAGGAGGCTGCAAGCTCTGCCTGAACTATTCACTGCCTTGTGCCTGTCAGGGATTAGAAAGTTGTGGGATTCAGTGAATTTAGGAGAAAACTGGTTTGGAGTCTCTGTGGTTGGTACAGTTGGACTTTGCCAGCTTCCCTGTGGGATGAGGAGAGAACAGAGTGTGTCTGTGTGTCCCCATGTGCTGACCTGGGACCCTCTTTCCTTGCAGAGGCTCTCCTGGAGCAGGCCATGATTGGGCCATCCCCAAACCCACTCATCTTGTCCTACCTGAAATACGCCATCAGCTCCCAGGTAAGGACCTGCTGGTGCTGCTGGGGGTCACCTTGCAGCCTCAGTGAGGTTGGGCAAAGCAGCTGGGGTGTTGGTGGTGGGCAGGCACCCCAAATCCCCCCATGTGAGCCTCTCCTGGGCTGGGCAGACACCCCAAACCCCCATGTGAGCCTGTCTGGGGCCGGGGCAGGCAGTGGAGGGCTCAGCACATGCCCTGGGCAGGGATGTTTCCATAAATAGCCCCTGCCATCGCCCAGGGTGGGAATTCTGCCCCCCGAGAGGCTCTGCACTCGCCGTGAGCTCCACGCTTTCACATCCTGGCATTTAATATCGCCTAAAGTTTGTGTGAAACACATCAGCGATCACCTAAAAATGTCTGTTTGGATTTGTGCCGGGTCAGCGCCCCGGCCCCGGCCCCGTCTGCGGTGACAGCAGCGGGGCCGTGCCCTGACCTTGCCGTTCCTCGGCAACGAGCGCGGTGCCGGCGCACAGCCCCCGTGAACACCGCGCTTGTTTTGGCTTTCTCTCTTGTAGATGGTGTCTTATTCCACGGTGCTGATGGCCATCAGCAAGGTACGGCTCTGACAGGTGCTCTCAGAGGTTTCACTCTTCACCCACAACCCCACAAATCCCTTTCCCTCCCCGCAACTCCCACCAAATATAGGTCAAGTGGAAAGCGACGTCCTGGGCTGAGTCAGCAGCGGGCAGCCGGCGCAGATTAGCGCCCGAGCCTTTCTGTGTCCCCCTGGGGATGGGCTGCTCTGGGTCCCAGCGGGTTTTTGGGGGTGTGAGTGCCTTGTCCCTCTGCCCTGCGGGGTTTGGCAGGCTCCTGGCCTGTGTGTAACCCCATCCCAAGCGCCGGAAACCACATCCCGCTGCGGCCGGCGGTGCTGGCAGCGCTGTGGGGATCGGAGCTGGCCTTGGAGGAGCTGCCAGGGCCTGGGCCATGTGGCTGCAGCCACACACCACGCTCGGGTGCTCTGTGTCCCTGTGCTGCTTCCGTGGGGACACTGAGCACCCTCCATGGCTGCCTCTGCTTGGTGTTGGGAAGCCCCTCACAGGCTATGACTGACCCCCCATTCTCCTCCTTGTCAGGCCCCCTACTCAGGGTGACCAAAGGAGGGATGATTTCAGAGAGAATGATTTCCCCCACCTCGTTGTTGTTATGGGGATGGGAGGAGAACTTCGCTGGCAGTCAGCGTTGAAAATTTTGGGGGACTGCAGGCTGAGCTCAGAGTTGTGCTGTGAAGCCCTGGCGAGGTGGGGACCCCTGCAGTGGTCCCAGCGCCGATCCGCGGGGGAGGGTAGAGCAGAGCCCAGCCCAGCTCCGAAGCGCTCGGGCTCGTTGCTCTTAGCCGGTGCCTGTTCGGAGGGGCGGGCACAGCGCTGACCTTGACAGCCGAGCCTTCCTCCTTCAGCGCAGCGTGGGCCCAGCGCGGAGCTGCGGGCAAGCTCCGGCCCGGCGGGGCTCCCCATCTGCTCCGGGAGGAGGCGGGGGGGCCGCGCTTCTGCTGCCCCCCGCCCCCAGCCCCGCGGCCGGCCAGGCTGCTGGCGCTGCCAGCCCCACCGAGCCGGGGGTGGGCAGGGGGCTGGCGTCCGGCCACCACCGCCGCCGCAGCCCCGGCCTGAGGCTGCGGAGAAAACCCAGCCCCGGCCCTGCTGCCGCGGTCCCACCGCCTCTCGCCACCCCGGGAGGGCACGACCTGGCCGACAGACAGCCCTGACCTACTTCTCATTCAAGTGGCTTCTGGGCAGCTGCCAGGGGGAGTGTCCTGTGGCCGCAGAGCCTGGCCCGGCCCTGGAGGAAGGGCTTGAGCTTGTGTAGAGCTGCCGGAGCAATCCCCATCTGAAGCCTCTCTGTGTTCCCCTGCTCTAGTTCGATGACTTCTCCCGGGACTTGTGTGTCCAGTCGCTCTTGGAGATCATGGACATGTTCTGTGACCGCCTCAGGTACTGTGTGGTGTTCCAGCACTGCCATCTCTGCCCTGGCTGTGCCATGGGCAGAACCAGGAGCCAGCGGAGCCTGGGGGTCCTGTCTGATCCCAGAATACTCACCCTGGCAGAGGAAGGGAGGTTCCCTCTCCAGCTCTGTGTCCATTACCAAGTTGCTGCCTCATGAGTGCCAGCACAGGGACAGCAGAGAGAATCCAAACCCCACCAGCATTGTGGGAAGCTGCCAGAACCCCCACCCCCTCTTCTGGGATAAACCTCACCATGGTTTTCCTTCCCAGTTCAGCTAGATGGGGTGGGTGTGAGACCCATGGTCCGAGGGTCTCTATTTCCTTTCCCTCTGCACCTTCCCAGGCCCCAGCTGTGTGTCCCAGTCTGGTCCTGCCTGTGCTGCCCCAGGCACTGCCTTGTTTTTTTCCTTTATGCTCTTCCGCTGGTGTTGCAGGACCCAGGGGAGTCCAGACAATTCAGGCCACAAAAACTTTTTTAGAAAGCTCAGAAATCTTCCTGTTAACCCCTGACAGCCTCTTCTGGGAGGCAGGAGCGTATGGCAGGGACAGTGGGAGGAGAAGGAGGATGAGGAAGGCTCTTCAATGAGATGAAATGAAGCAGCAGCAATGAATATGCATCAGTGGCAGATGTTGACAAGGAGCTGTCGCTGGCCAACTGCAGAGCCGACCCTTAATCCACTCCTGCCTGCTCTGATCCTCTGCTTAATTTGATCAAAACTTTTGGCCCCGATGATTTGTGCATCAGGAGGGGAAAGCGTTCACCTCTCACAGTGCACTGATCAATGCTGAGCCTCCCTTAGCAAGATAATTTGATTAAAAGCTTGGAAAGTTTCCCTGTAGTGGAGAGGCCAGTAAGGAGGCTGCATGGGGAGGGGGTGGGGGTGTCCCCTTCCCCTGGCACAGCGGGAATGCTGGTGGGATGAGCGGCTTGGGATCTGCAGCAGAGGAGTGGGCTGTGAGCGCAGGACCTGCTTTTGGGTTCCCCAGCCTACCCAGTGTCCGTGCCTCAGTTTCCACACACACAGTGAGCATATTCCCACTTGTCTCCTGTGCCAGCTGCCACGGCAAGGCCGAGGAGTGCATCAGCCTGTGCCGGGCGCTGCTGAGTGCCCTCACCTGGCTGCTGCGCTGCGCCACCTTCTACGCCGAGAAGGTGAAGGAGCCGCTGGAGCAGGCGGCGGCGGAGAACCAGCTGAAGATGTGCCTGGAGAGGTTGGAGAAGGTGCTCAGCAGCACCAAGAACCGTGCCCTGATCCACATTGCCAAGCTGGAGGAGACATGTATGTCCCTGCCCCGCGTGCTGGCCCTGGAGAGATGTCATTGCCACCTCTCCCTTCCCCCTGCCCGGCTCCTGCCGCATTGTCCCTGCGGCTCCAAGCCTATCCATCTTCCAGCCCTGTTGCTGTAACCGTCTCCTCCCTGGCTCTGTGCCACTCTCTGCCCCCTCCCCTGCGTGCTGCCTTTGGAAGAGGAGCAGAATTAATGTGAAGGCTGCGGGAGCTGTTCCTGGGTGCGTGGCGAGCGCTGTGCTCCGACAGCCTGGCACAGCCCCGTGCCTTCATCTGTGTCTGGCCAGGAGGCTGTGCCAGGCTGGCCTTGGGGTGGGACCTGCTGGGACTACACAGACCCCTGGGCTGGGCATCAGCAGTGGGGACTCCCAGCCTCTTCACCTGTCTGGGCTGCTGTAGGCCTTGGAGGTGGCCTGCCTGGTTTCCCCATGTGCCACTGTCCCCTCAATGAATCCCTGCTTTCCCTCCCCAGCCTCCTGGAGCACTGTGGAGCAGTCCCTCGTCAAGCTGGGAGAGAACCTGAACAACCTTGGCAGCACCCCGCTGCGGAGCCAGGCTGATGACTGTGTGTCCCTCATCAAAAGGTGGCTGTGCTGCTGCCCCGTGGGCTCAGGGGGCAAAATGGGTCTGAGTTTCACTCTGAGTCCCCCAAACTCCCTGCTCTGAGGACTGAGAGGCTCCTGCTCCCCGCTTCCCTGTCCCTTCCCAGCTCAGATCCCTGCTCCAGCAGGGGCTGCCCAGAGTTAGTAGTGACTTGTTGCAGAAGAGTCTTGCCCAGGGGTTGCTCTTCTGGTGACCCTGAGACCTTTTACTATCCCTCAGCTGCTCTGGCCACCCAGGGCTGCTCTCTTTGCTCTGGATCCCCCTGGAATTGCTCCCGGGGCCTGAGGGCTTGGCTGAGCCTTGGAGCTCCCAGGCACAGGTGTTCCAGTGTCCTGCCCCAGGGCAGCAAAGGTCAGGGGTTTGGCCAGGGAATGGGAGTGGGACAGGAGGAGCAGGAATCTGTCCCTGCAGGGCTCCAGTGACCCTGGGCTGTCCTCTTCCACCCAGCATCCCCACCATGCTCTCAGTCCACTCAGAGCAGCTGAACAAGACAGGCTTCCCCACCGTGCACGCCGTGGTGCTGCTGGAGGGCACCATGAACCTCACAGGGGAGACCCAGCCACTAGTGGAGCAGCTGATGATGGTGAAGAGGATGCAGGTACAGAAGTGACAGTGTGTTCTGCTCTGCTCAGGCAGCCTGAGGCTGTGGGGCCAGGCCATGTGCCTTCCCTGTGCTGGTCCTGCTCCAGGAGAGCAGCAGGAGCCCATCAACACCTCAGCAGGGGTTTGGCTGTGTTGGGGGATGTGCTTTGCTGCCAGCCCAGCACTGGGAGGGTTTGTGTGTGTGCCCCACAGCGCATCCCCTCCCCTCTCTTCGTGCTGGAGATCTGGAAGGCCTGTTTCGTGGGCCTCATCGAGTGTCCTGAGGGCACAGAGGAGCTCAAGTGGACAGCTTTCACCTTCCTGAAGGTAGGGCCCAGCCCCAGCACCGAGTCCCTGCCCTTCTGCCCTTTCCCTGCAGGTCTGGCTCCTGCTGAGCCCTGAGCTCTGCCAGAGCAATCAATCCTTCTTTCTTGCAGTGTGCCCCTTGGGGTGCCCACAGCCCACAGTGTGCTCCTCACCCACTCAGAATTCCCCTTGGTTATCCCCACACCCCTTAGTGTGTCCCACACCCCATACTATGCCCCCACTCCTCACAATGTGCTCCTTGGGGTCCATCCCACCTGAGCCCACTCCAGCCCTCCTGTCACCCTCTGCGCATCAACTTTGCTGTCAGGGGACTCCTTTCAGCCCAGCCTCATTTTGTGTGGCAGAGTGAGTTTTCCTGACATGTTATGGGGGAAATGTGGCTCCAGGTGATGGTGGAAGGACACTGCAGAGGGGAACAGGGGCACAAAATCCCCTGGGTGCACACACTGCTCCAGAAATGCTGCTTTCCTGGGGCTGGGAGAGCAGCTGTGTGCAGCTGTGCTGGTGTGGGCTGGTGCTGCTGGGAGGTCCCAGCTGTGGAATGGTGTCTGCCCTCATGTCACTCTGTGCCCTGTGTCTTTCAGATGCCCCAAGTGCTGGTTAAACTCAAGAAATACCCCCAAGGGGATAAGGTGAGGCTGATGGTGCTGTGCCTGGCCTGCATGGGAAAATGTTCCCTGTCCCAAAAACCTTCCCTGATGGAGCAGGTGGGGACAGGGGAGGTGGGCCTGTGCCAGTAGCGTGGTGAGCTGAGTGTCTGGCTTTGTGTTTGTCAGGATTTCACTGAGGATGTGAACTGTGCCTTCGAGTTCCTGCTGAAGCTGACCCCTCTGCTGGACAAAGCCGACCAGCGCTGCAAGTGAGTGCTCACCATGGCCACAGCTGCCACACAGCCACATGCCACAACCACCCTGTCCTCAGTGTGGGGTGCTGGGGCAGCTCCTGGCAGGGCTGGGTTAGTTTCTGATCCCATTTCTTCTTCCTGAGGAGCTGCTGCTGCCACATGAGTGAGGCAGTGAGTCACGTGTGTGACACCCAGAGCTGCTCTGGACCCTGCAGCACCCTTGGAGGGGTGGGACAGGGCCAGGAGGGCAGCTCACGAGTCCCCCTGCCCTGTGGCACTGTCTGGGGTGACAGGAATGCTGTCCTTGGGGCTACAGCTCTCCTCTCTCTTCCAGCTGTAACTGCATGAGCCTGCTCCTGCAGGAGTGCAGCAAGCAGGGGCTGCTCTCCGAGGCCAACATGAACAACCTCATCGACAAACGGTACAGCCACCCCAAAGTCTGGGAACCCCCACAAGTGGGGCTGGAGCACCTGGTTTTGGGGGAGCATGAGGGAGCAGCTCTGCTGACACTGGGGGACTGTGACTGGGACACACATGGTGGCCTGGGGGATGGGATGCTGCTTTTGGGACAGGTTGGGTACAGACAGAGTCTGTCCCCTCAGAGAGGCAGTGGCTGTCCCTTGAGGGTGCCACTGGGTGGAGGGAGGGAGGGAGGCAGGGTGATGGATTCCTACACACTGACCCTTCTTTGGGGTCCCCCAGGGCTGCAGACAAGGAAAACTCTCCATCCCTGAAATCAGCTGAGAACGCCAACATCCAGCCAAACCCTGGGCTCATCCTGAGGGCTGAGCCCACTGTCACCAACATCCTGAAGGTCAGTGTCCTTCTGCAGCCATGCTGGGCTGGCTGGGCTCAGGCCTGGAGCCCATTGCCAGCAGCATCAGTCTAACGAGGCAGCCAGGGTGGTTGGGAGGTGCCTGATTTCTCCCTGCCCTGGGGTGGAGTAGTGGAGGAATCACTCGAGCCTTGCTGCTCCATTGTGGAGATGAGGAGCTCCCTTCCTCCTTCCCAGGAAGCTGGAGGAGCTGTCAGGTGGCATGTCATCAGTGCCAGCAGCCTGAGCCCAGCCAGCTCTGCCCCTCCTGCTCAGCTGCTCTCTGTGTGCATCTCCCCTGTTTCCTGGGGACTCCCCGTGTCCCTGTGTCACTCTGGTTGTTTTGCTGCTACTGAGTGACAGGGGATGTGTTCCTGCTGGTGGCAAGGGCTCAGAGGTCCCCATCCCACCTCTCCCAAATCCAGCAGGTCCCTGCTCCTTGAGGTCTCGGGGACAGCTCTTGCAGCTGCTAACTCTGTACCCCAAAACCCGGAGTTTGCTGCTAGTCTGTATCACACATTCCCCATTATTTCCGTTTCCTCTTACTTTTTTGCTTGTAGACCATGGATGCAGATCACTCCAAGTCCCCTGAGGGCCTTCTGGGGGTCCTGGGTCACATGCTGTCTGGGAAGAGCCTGGACTTGCTGCTGGCAGCAGCAGCAGCCACTGGGAAGCTGAAATCCTTCGCTCGGAAGTTTGTCAAGTGAGTGTCCAGCTGGGTGGCACTGTGACTGTGACCAGGGGGCTGGGGGGGACAGGCAGCCTCCTAAACTGCCCTCTAGACAGGGCTGGATGTGCCTTTGGCCCTGTGGAGCACGGGGGAGGGCTGGGATTTCAGGGATGCTGCACCCCACAGCACCCCATCTTTGCCTCTGCATGAACAGGACAGAGAATTGGAACCAGGTTGGTCTGGGGGTTGGTCTTTAACTGAAGGCTGTGGCCAAGCCCTGGATCCAGGGCAGTGTGTCACTGCCTTCTGCAGACACACGTGCACCAGCACACACGTGGGGCTGTGTGATGGGCTCCCCCAAGGTGACTTGACCAGCCTTGGGGTGTATGGGGGGTCTGTTTGGTGGTCTGTGCTCTGAAACACTCCCAGAGCTGGCTCTGGGGAGAGCCCATTTGTGTGGGGTGAGCAGCTTGGCTGGACCTGTGTGGCCACAGGGAGCAGAGACAGGGAGGAGGTGACTTGTCCCTGTGGTGCTGGAGGGTGTCTGCAGAGCTGGGCCTTGCATCTCCTGCCCCTCGGTGCTGGGCTGGAGTTTGGGGGGGGGTCTGCAAGTCAGGCAGCCCCCTGCTTGTGTCAGGGCTGGGAATTGTCTGGTTGGACTGATCATGCTTTGCTGCCACTCTCTGCCCCTCCAGGCTGAACGAATTCACCAAGCAAATCACGGGGGAAATCTGTGAGTGTGTGTTTGTCCGTGCATGGGGTGACAGGAGCTGTGCCCCCCCTGCTGGGATGCTCTGGGGCCTGCCTGGATTAAACTGGGACTGGCTGTGGCACCAGAGCAAGCTGAGCTGTGCCAGGCCTGGCTGGGGGTGCTGGCAGGGAGGGGGCCCTGTGCCAGCAGGGATCTGGGCTCCTGGGGACACGTTGCCTTCATGTGCATGTCCATCCCAAATCTGGGGTGTTCCCTTGAGCTCCCTTTCCCCTGCTGAGCCTGGGGGCCCCTTGGCTCCCTCCCTGGAAGGGGTGATGTGTCAGCACAGCCCAGATAAGGACTCTGACTCCGTGTGATGAAACTTGCGGAGTGCTCTGACCTTCCATGGTGAGGGGGGGCCCCGCTTGGGCTGGGGCTGCCCAGAGGGAGGCCAGAGCTGCTCTGGGGGCTCAGGCAGAGGCAGATGACGTGGGGGGAGGCACTTGGAACATCCCTTTGTTCACACTGGGGAGGTTAGAAACTCTGTGTGAGGGAAGCATGGCCCCCAGCCCCAGTGTTTGTGGGGTTCTGCTTCCCTCCTCCTGCTGAGGCCAGAGGGCCCCAAGGTCTTTATTTCTCCTCCTTCAGCCAAGAGTGGCCCAGTCCGGGCTCTGCTCTTTGACATCTCCTTCCTCATGCTGTGCCATGTGGCCCAGACCTATGGCTCAGAGGTAAGGTCCTCCGGGAGGATGAGAGAGTGGGACTGGATCCTGTGAGGGAGGGGAAGGATGAGGCTGGATCCTAAGAGGGGCTCTCAAACCTGCCAGCTCAGCCTCTGCGCTGCTGCAGCCTATCAGCCTCCTCTAGTGGCCAGCCTGCTGCTGTCCCCACTGTCCCTCCTGTCCTTGCAGCCACTTCATAGCCCACGGCACAGCATCCAGTGCCTGTCACCTGGAAATCTGTCCCTGGGGCTCTCTGGGTGCCAGGTGATGGAGCAGGACTGGCTGTCACCTCCCTGAGGACTTGGGCTGTGCTCTTTTGGTGGGTGGTGGGATCAGTGCGAATGCTGCTTCCAATTGGAGCTCACCAGACTGCTCCCAGTTTGCCCCTCCAGTTTGGCACTGGTTGGCTGGGGGGTTGCATGGCCGGGCAGTGCCAGCCCCCCCCGTCCAAGGAGGAACTCCCAGCCCTGCTCAGGAAACTGCACTTGGGTTGCATGAAAATTTTCCAGGTTTCGACATCTGTGTGTGCTGAGAGGCGAAACGATACCGAAACACTGGGAATGCAGAGAGGGGAGAGAAGGGTCCTGCCCAGCTGGCCCTGGGAGCAGGGAGGGGGGACCAGGCAGGGATGGATGTGCCCAGGGCTGTCCAATGAGATCTCATCCCTCCCCTCCCAGCCCAGCAGCTTTCCTGCCCAGCTGCTGCTGAACAGATGTGCGAAACTTTTTTGGACAAAAATAGTGTCCCCTGGGTGACACGGGCTGAGGGGAGGAAGTGACGTGTGGGGTTCCCAGCTCATGGCCCCCACAGCACCCTCCCAGCCCCAGCCCCAGGGACCCTATGCAGGGCTTGGCAGGGTGGGGGGACAAGGGACTTGTTTGAGCTGGACACTGTGACACTCACAGCTGGCCTGACATCTCTCCTCTGAGCTGGGCTGTGTTCTGCTGGGGAGCACCCTGGTATTGGGGGAAACCACAACCCACAGAGGGGAAACCAGTGCCTGGGAGGGCCTGAGCAGTGCCCTGCTGGGGCCTGACCAGTGCCTGCCTGTCCCTCCAGGCCACCGGGCGGCGCTGTTCCCACGGCCATGAGCACCCCAGGGTGGGGACAGGCCCCCGGGTGGGGACAGTCTCCAGGGTGGAGACAGACCCCAGGGTGGGGGTCCCCAGCAGGGTCTCTGTGGGATGCAGACCCCTTGTTGGTTCCTTTCCAGGTGATCCTGTCAGATTCCAACCCTCCAGGCGAGGTGCCCTTCTTTGAGACCTGGATGCTGACCTGCATGCCCGAGGAGGGGAAGATCCTCAACCCTGACCACCCCTGCTTCCGCCCAGATTCCACCAAGGTGGAGTCCCTGGTTGCCCTTCTCAACAACTCCTCTGAGATGAAGCTGGTGTAAGAGCCCACCCATGTGCCCACCACCCTGCCAGGTCTGGGGGAAGCCCCCAGCCCAGCTCCCCTGGCCCCAGAGGTGTGTCTGAATCCCCATCTCTCCCCAACAGGCAGATGAAGTGGCATGAGGTGTGTCTGAGCATCTCAGCTGCCATACTGGAGATCCTCAATGCCTGGGAGAATGGAGTCCTCACCTTTGAGTCGATCCAGGTGGGGCTGGTGGGGGGCAGAGTGGAGCTGTGCTGTGTCCTGAGGAGGGGCCAAGGGTCCAGAAGCTCTGGGGTACCCTGTTGTCCTGCCCTGATCGCTCTGGCAGCTACCTTGGAGCTTGCTGAGACTTGGAAGTGGGAAACTGATGTGGCTCCAGCCCTTTGTTCCTGCTCCAAACTGCCCTGGGGGTGGCAGGGACAGTGTCACCCATGGAGGAGAGAAGGGCTGGGACCCTGCAGTCGGGACCTACAGCCCTAGGAGGTGATGGCTGCACATCCACCTGGCTGTGCTCATCCTCTGCTCTGTCTCCTCTGCTAGAAAATCACAGAGAACATCAAGGGGAAGGTGTGCAGCATGGCAGTGTGTGCCGTGGCCTGGCTGGTGGCCCACGTCCGCATGCTGGGCCTGGATGAGCGGGAGAAGTCCCTGCAGATGATCCGGCAGCTCGCCACCCCCCTGTACGGAGAGAACACGCTGCAGTTCTACAACGAGCGGTGAGCTGGGCACACGGGCCTGCTGCTGCCCTGCAGCTGGCTCCCATGCCACATCTCCTGCCCTGCTTCTCCTTTTCCACTTCCTCATTCTGTGCCATCTCCTGCCCTGCTTCTGCTTCCCAGTGCCATGGCCTCCTGCCCCAATTCCACTTTCCAGTGCCATTTCTCCTGCCCTTCTTCCTCTTCCCAGTGCCATGCCATCTTCCATGTTTCTGCTTCCTGGTGCCATGCCATTCTCTGCCCTGCTGTCCCTTCCCAGTGCCATGCCATTCTGTGCTCCACTGTCTCTTCCTGGTGCTGTGCCATTCTCTGTCTCTGTGCCTTGCTGTCCCTTCCTGGTGCTGTGCTATCTCCTGCCCCACTGTCCCTTCCCAGTGCAGTGCCATTCTCTGCCCCGCTATCCCTTCTCAGTGCTGTGCCATTCTCTGTCTCTGTGCCCTGCTGTCCCTTCTCAGTGCTGTGCCATTCTCTGTCTCTGTGCCCTGCTGTTCCTTCCTAGTGCAGTGCCATTCTGTGCCCTGCTGTCCCTTCCCAGTGCTGTGCCATTCTCTCTGTGCCTTGCTGTTCCTTCCCGGTGCTGTGCTATCTCCTGCCCCACTGTCCCTTCCCAGTGCCGTGCCATTCTCTGTCTCTGTGCCCTGCTGTCCCTTCTCAGTGCTGTGCCATTCTCTGTCTCTGTGCCCTGCTGTCCCTTCCCAGTGCCGTGCCATTCTCTGTCTCTGTGTCCTGCTGTCCCTTCTCAGTGCCATGCCATTCTCTGTCTCTGTGCCCTGCTGTCCCTTCCCTGTGCCCACCTGATGCCATCTCTCCCCCCCAGTGTGGTGATCATGAGCTCCATCCTGGAGCACATGTGCGCGGACGTCCTGCAGCAAACGGCCACACAGATCAAATTCCCCTCCACTGGCATGGACACCATTCCCTACTGGAATCTTCTGCCCCCCAAGAAGCCCATCAAGGAGGTGCTGACCAGCGTGTTCACCAAGGTGCTGGAGAAGGGCTGGGTCGACAGCCGCTCCATCCACATCTTCGACACCCTGCTGCACATGGGGGGTGTGTACTGGTTCTGCAACAACCTGGTCAAGGTAGGAGGGGGCAGGAGGGACCCCTAGTGTTGGGCAGGGTGCTGAGGCCAGGAATGGTGGGTTTAGTTTGTGTTCCTAGTGTCCTGGGTGTGCCTGGGCTGGGTGCTGGGACAGTTCTGGCACTGGAGGGGAGTGGGGCAGGGCCACCTCTCCCCTCCACCCTGCAGGAGCTGCTGAAGGAGACACGGAAGGAGCACACGCTGAGGGCTGTGGAGCTGCTCTATGCCATCTTTTGCCTGGACATGCACCAGCTGACACTGACACTGCTGGGCCACATCCTGCCCAACCTGCTGACAGACTCCTCCAAGTGGCACACCCTCATGGACCCCCCTGGGAAGGCCCTGGCCAAGTAAGGCCCCAGAGCAATGGAGATTTCCTCCTCGAGGCGTGTTTGGGGAGATGGGGGGATGGTCTGTGCTGGGATGAGGATCCCAGCTACCCAAATCCCACTCTGGCTTTGGCAGTGCCAGCAGTTCCTACTCTGATCCACATTCCCTGCTGTCCCCTGAAGAGGAGGAAGCTGCTGTGTCCCACACCCCATTGTCAGGTGGGGTGCTGGCAGCACCTGGCTGTGTCCCTGCTCTGTCCCCAGGCTCTCTGTTTGGTGTGCCCTGAGCTCCTACTCCTCCCACAGCAAGGTCCAGGCCTCGGCCCGGCAGAAGAAGAGGCACCGGGAGGACATCGAGGTGTGTCTGGCTGGGGCAGGGGCTGCCTGGGGGCTCTCTGTGCCCAACAGCAGCAATGGCTGGGGGAGGTGAGGGTGGTAGGAGTGGGTGGGTAAAGCCAGACTCCCTGCCCAGCTTTTCTGGGTTCTCTGAGGCTTTCCCACTTTAAAATTCAGGATTTTCCCTTCTCTTTTCTGGTCAAAGGGCTGTAACAAGCTGGTCAGCATGTCCAGCCTAGGCTGGGGTGCTCTGGGTGACCAGAGATCAGATCCTGGGCTGTGGGGCTGTGCAGAGCCCAGGGGGGGTGAGCAGCCCTGTGCAGGGTGAGGGGCTGGTGGGGCTGACCCCCCTCTCCCCCCAGGATTACATCAGCCTGTTCCCACTGGATGACACACAGCCCTCCAAGCTCATGCGGCTGCTGAGCTCCAACGAGGAGGATTCCAACATCCTCTCCAGCCCCAGTAAGTGCAGGAGGAGAGGGGGGATGGCTCCCTTGTCTCCCTGTCCCTTTTGGGTGTGAAATGTGTATTTGCAGAAAACCCCTTCCCTTCCCAAACTGGCCGGGTGAGGGTTTAGAGCTCTCAAGTGTTTTTTGAGTTATGTCAGAGCTTTTGCATTTGGGAAAAGTCAATTTCCTTATGTTTCTGATCAGAACAACTTAAAAGGGTGACATTACCCTTTCCTTTCTTGCCAGTGCCCCACACCCTAGGGTCTATGGGGGTCTTTGTGTCCCTCCAGCCATCCCTCATGGGACCAGAGCTGGAGTGACATTCCTGGTGTCTGGGGCCAAATCCTGACATTCCAGTGCTGTTAACAAGGCTGAGGCAGAGCGGATGAGGGCCCTGGTCACATCCGTGTCCCTGCAGTGTCACGGGTTGCGACAGCTCCGCTGGGGGATTTGCTGGGGGGGTCCATGTCCTGCCCACTGGGTGCTGTCACAGTTCCCACATACATTGTCCACACTCCTGGGCAGTGAGTCAGGACATTCTCAGGTCGTTGTTTGTCTCTTTATCCCAAATTACTCTATATATTAGTTTTCGACACATCCATTGACCTTCAGTTTCAGTTCGTTTCATTACTGTTGAAATGTGGGCTTTTCCCTTTATTTCACTTATCTTCTTTTACCTCCTGAGGCAGTCCCACCTCTTCCCAGTGACATTCAGGACTTTTTTGGGCTATTTGCTGCAGTGATGTGGAAATGCTGCTTCCTGCAGCCACCATATAACTCATGTGATTCCATGAGAAAAGTGTGGGAGGGCTTTCTTTTTCTGGTGAGCATCCTCAGAGCAGCACAAGGTGGATCCTGCAGATTTGGGCAGGGGCTGTGGGGTGTGCACAAAAGCCTTCCCAAAGGGATTCCCATCCCATTGGAGCAGACCTGACCCAGTTCTTCCCACAGGAGTGCCCAGCAGTGCTTCACAACTGGGGTCAGCTCAATCCTCCTGGTCTGTCCCAGGATTTGCTGCTAGATTTGGACGTGCTTCAGCTCTGATAGCTGGATTGCACCCTGACAGTGAGATGGGAAGGCTGCTGTGCAGCAGCTGTTGAACATCTGGCTCGCACACAGGATGTGTAACGTGTGTGTCGCTGCTGTTCTCTGCTCCTGGTGGTGACACCACGTGTCACACCCCAAAAGCAGCGTGGGAAACCTGCCTGGGCTCCGTGTGGGCTGCCACAGGGGACAGGGATGGGGCAGAGACCCTCTGTGCTGTGCCCCACTGACACAGACTGTTGGGTACAGGGGGTCTAAACCTCTTCTGCTCCACAAAGCCTCTCCCAGAGCTGGGTGACCTCGAGTGGCCAAAGCTGGCCAGCGTGGGCACATTGGCTCAGCCAGGGGGGCCGTGAGGCTGTTCCTGACTCTGCTCCTGCCCACAGATCGCTCCATGAGCAGCTCACTCTCTGCCTCCCAGCTCCACACCGTCAGCATGAGGGACCCTCTGAACCGGGTGCTGGGTAAGGTGGGGATGGGTGTGGGGTCACATCCAACCACTGGGACACCAGTGGGAAGCTCAGGCCGCCTGCAGCCTCCCAGAAGTGACCTGACTGTTGTTCTCTCCCTGTCCCCACAGCAAACCTCTTCCTGCTCATCTCTTCCATCCTGGGGGCCAAGACAGCTGGCACCCACACGCAGTTTGTCCAGTGGTTCATGGAGGAGTGTGTGGAGTGCCTGGAGCAGGGCAGCCGTGGGAGCATCCTCCAGTTCATGCCGTTCACCATGGTGGGTCCAGCAGCTGTCACACCCCTGTCCCTGCCTGGGGAGTGCCCCGGGGTCCCACAGGATGGCCACATCCCAGGCTCCTGGTGACACTCACCTGTGCTTCTCCTCTGTCCCTGGACAGGTTTCTGAGCTGGTGAAGGTGTCCACCATGTCCAGTCCCAAAATTGTCCTGGCCATCACTGACCTCAGCCTGCCCCTGGGTCGCCGTGTCGCCGCCAAGGCCATTGCTGCTCTGTGACCAGGGCTGCTCCAGCCAGGGGGGATCCCTGAGGAGCCCAGGGATGTCCCTGCTGGTCTGGGTGGCTGGCATGGCCCCTGTCACTGCAGCTGCTGGAGGGCTGCTCCCTCAGCACACGGAGCCATCTCCTTGCTCTGCCTCATGGCACTTTTGAGACTGAGACACCCCCTAATTTTTTGTATTCTATAAATCAATCCTTTTGTACAACCAGCTTTTGCCTCACCTCATTTGAGCTTCTGGGACTCCCCAAAACCCCTTGATCCTGGGTGTGATGGGGAGCCAGTGGCCAAGCCCTGTGTTGGGCAGGAGGGGAAATCTCCCTCACCCTGTTCCAGACCTGAGAGTGGGTGGTGGGCTGCCTGTGGTGCTCTCACTGGGAGCAGGCACTCTGCTGGGTGGGGCAGGGATGCTTCCCTGCTGTGCTGTCAGCCACAAGTGGGATCTTGTTGGGAATTCTGCCACGTGAGCATGAGTTCTAGTTGGAATTCCTTCCCATGAGTGTGAGTTCTTATTGGAATTCCTTTCCATGAGTGTAAGTTCTTATTGGAATTCCTTCCCATGAGTGTGAGTTCTCATTGGAATTCCTCCCTGTGAGTTCAGTCTGCAGTGAGCACGGGCAGTGGGTGAGTAACTGTGGCCTGGCCAGCACCACACCAGCCTCGTGCTGGGACAGGCTCCCCTGGGACTGTCCCCACACCCTGCCAGCTGCTCCAGCAGTGAATCCAAGAGCTGTCATGAACTCTTGTCCCTGAGGGAGTGGCAGTGCCAGGGCTGCTGCCCCTCTGCCCCTTCCACTGGTGTTGATTCACAAGAAAGGGGAAAGCAGGGCCAGCACGTACCAACCCTCAGGGCACTGTGACTCCGAGCCCACTCCTGGGACTGGGCTGTGCCTCTGCCCCCTTGGCACCAGGGGGGTTCCCAGCCCTGTTTTGGGAGGCTCTGAAGGGAGAATGGGGCACAGGGGGATCCTGGAGTGGTGCTGCAGGGGTTGGGTCCGTGCTGGCCAGGGAAGAGGCAGTGGGACAGTGACTCAGCGCTGGGCTGACCCCATCTGATCCCAGGATGAGCTCAGCTCCTGGCAGCCCCCAGGCTTTGCTGGAAGGAGAGACCCCCATGCACTTGGGGTAGCTGTGGGTGTTGCTGGTCCTTGGCCTTCACTCACAGAGCATCCTCCCCCTCCTGCTGGCCCCAGGGCTGCAGCCCCTGGTCCCCATCCGGCCCAGCCGGGAGCAGCTGCAGGGCTGGGTGGGGTGGGTAACGGAGCCGTGGCACACACCGGGATGGGCTGGGATGGCCTCACCGAGCCTGACACTGGTGTGAGTCCCACCCTGAGCTGGCACTGGCACCGACCCGCCCGGGCACCTCTGCTCGCCCAGGGGCGGCTCTTTACCGTTAGCCCGGAGCAAAGAGCAGGACCTGGCGTGGCCTTCCCAGCTCTGTCAATATTTGCCGAGGCAGCCCCATGCCTGGCGTTGGCACCGGCGCTTCCCCTTACAGGAAGGGGCTGGAGCAGGAGAAGAGGGTTTTCTGTAAGTGCCCGTGAGGCGGGGGGAGGAAGGAGGGACCTGCCCTCCCTGTGGGTGAGGGCATCCCCCTGGCAGTTTGTGACTGAGGGGCTCCAGCCTGTGCCAGCCTCTGCCCAGGGCTGGAAGCTGGGAGGCAGGAACTGGGAGCCCTGGCACGCCCCCAGCACTGGGCTCTGTCCCTGTGTGGCTGGGATGAGTGTGGTGAGGGATGCTGGTGATCATGGGATGCGAGCGTGGGCCCAGTGGCAGGAAATGGGGCTGGTGAAGCTGGGACAGCCCAGGGTGGGCAAACACCCATTGGGGAGAAGGTGGGGGTGCCCTTAGGGGCTTTCTAGGGCAGGGGAGATGCCCAGGGCTCTCCTGACATTGCTCAGCCACATTGGGGCTGTCCCTTTATCCATCTGCCTTCCTCACTGCTGAAAGCCTCCTCCCACCATGGCACATCCCTGGGCACAGGGAGGGCTCTGGGAAGGCTCCTGGCACATTCCTGGGCAGCTCTGGGGCAGATTGCCCGTGTCACAGCAGCAGCAGAAGGGTGGTTGGGGACCCCCAGTGCCACCAGCCCCAGGATGAGCCCACAAACCAGCTCTGGGCATGGTGCCCGTGCCCTCAGCGGGCGCTGCCAGCGCGGGCAGCTTCCGGAGCTTTCTAGGAATCGGCTCTTGCCCAAGCAGCTCTGCCAGGCGTGGGAGGAAGTGGCCATCCCACAGCACCTCCTGACCCTCAGCGGGCTCAGCCCGTGGGGTGGGGGCACTGGGGGGGCTGCGTTTCATCTTTGTGAGCTGACACCAGCAGCTGCATGGTGCCCCAAAGTCCCATTCCCTCATCCCCCGTGTCTCTGTCCCTGTGTCCCCACACCCTGGCCACTCTGCCTCCCTCCCACGCAAGCAGGAGACAGCGGAACAGAGAGAGAGAGTGCAAAAATAGAGTTTATTTCCATTTTTATCACATAGAAAAAAAGCGGGTGTTTCTTGGGGCTCACCCAGCTGCAGCAATAAATACAGTACAAAACCCCCCACGCCCAGAGCTCCCACACAACCACGGGACTGGGGCTGCGTCAGGCTCAGGAGGATGGGAATGTGTCCAAGTGGCTCTTTCCGGCCATGGACAGGCACAAATAAGTTAAACTGCAATAAGTACTCTGATTTTAGCAGGGAAGGGGGACAGAGCAGAGATGCAGCTCCCCAAAGTGCTGAGGCTCCCCGAAAAATCCTCGTGAGGCTGCTGTATCCCTATGGTTCTTCCATCTTCCCTCCTCTCTCTCCCTAATGGCTAATAAATATTAATTACTAGAAATAACACCCATCAGATGTGTCCCTGCAGGCTGCAGCCCAGACAGGGAGATGCTGCTCTGGAGCATCCTCATCCTGGGATGAAGGTGTTTTCCCGTGGGATGATGCAGCAGCCCCAGCAGTGCAAGCCATGGGGAAACTGAGGCACAGGCAGTGCCAGCAGCAGCTGTGGGTGCCCAGCCCAGCTCCAGAACCTCGTAGCAGAGATACGCTTGTGTTTAAATATTAAACAAGGGTGATGCTGCACAGGTACCTGTGCACGGATCCTCCGCGGGATCCCCTGGCGCCTGCCCGGGGCCGCGGGCGGGGGAGCATCCCCAGACAGATAAATATTAAATAGCCATAAATATTAAATAAGCAGGAAATGGGGTGCTCCCGGGATGCCCCTCAGGTGGGACATCCACAAACAGGGGTCAGAGGCTGGTGAGGTGCCGCAGTGCCCGGTACGCCGTCTCCAGGAACCGCTGGAAGTTGGCCAGGATGAAGAAGCCGCCCACTTGGTGGTGGAAGTGGGAGGAGAAGGTGGGGACGGGGTCCTGGTTCTCTGTGGGGTAGGTCACCGTGGCCAGGCCCAGGTCCTCCATCTGCAGCCAGGCAGAGGAAGAGGCATCAGCTCCAGGCCTGGAGATGCCCCTCTGCCCCAGTGTGCCCTTCCCAGGCATGCAGCTCCCACCGTGCCCACCCATCCCTGTGAATGCAGCCCCTGCCATGCCCACCCATCCCTGTGAATGCAGCCCCTGCCATGCCCACCCATCCCTGTGAATGCAGCCCCTGCCATGCCCACCCATCCCTGTGAATGCAGCCCCTGCCATGCCCACCCATCCCTGTGAATGCAGCCCCTGCCATGCCCACCCATCCCTGTGAATGCAGCCCCCACCATGCCCACCCCTCCTTTGGGAAGCAGCACCTGCTTTACCCACCTGTCCCCACAAAGTCCCCCCTTTGCCCCCTCACCTGCTGCTGGATGTTGGAGGACAGGTTGGCCATGTCCAGCTGCAGGGTCTCCACCAGCCCAGCGTGCCCAGGCAGGAGGGCTCGGAGGGTGGCCAGGGAGCCGTGGTAGATGCGGAGCCCGGCTCGGATCTGGCTGAAGCAGGTCTCCTGTGGTGGGCATGGCGTGGTCAGAGGGGCTGGGCATGGCCTGGCCACCAAGACACGGAGGCTCTGGGGTGCCCCCGAGCTGTGACAGAGCTGAGCAGCTCATGGCAGGGGTGGCTGCCCGCACTCACTGCCTGGAAGGTGCGGCGGTGACACTGCTCCAGCGGCGCCTGTGCGATGTCCAGGTCCTGCCGCACCAGCTGCAGCTCGTCCTCCTTGCACAGCTGGAGCGTGTCACACTGCGGACAAAGGGGACAAGGTGAGGATACCAGAGGACCTCGACACACCAGGACACCCCAGCATCCCATCCCTGGGCTGTGGGACCCTGTGCAGCCCAGCCAGGAGGAGGGAGGGGATGGAGTGGACACAGTGTAACAGGGACGGAGGTGAGCCAGGAAGGTCACCACGTGTCCCCGGTGGGTGCCCCAACACCCCGGGGCTGAGCTTTGGGCAGTGCAGGGGACACTGCTGGCTCCTGGCCCTGCGGTGCCGATAAGGGCAGGGAGGGGGTCACCTTATCTGTGACCTCACAGTGGCCGCCATCCCCCCTCCGCAGTGAGGGACTCACCACCACGCGCTGCAGCGCAGCCACGTCCCCACGGATCTTGCGGGTGAACTCGAGGTTCCTCTGCAGGAAGAGCTGGAAGTCCTGGTCCCCTGAGAGCTCGGTCAGTGGTGCCCCATGCAGCGCCCGCCACAGCAGCACAGCCAGCAGCACTGCCAGCCCACCTGTGGGGACAGCGGCTCAGCGTCCACCCCACGGAGCCCCGACCCCTCAGCCGGGATGGGCTCAGCAACCAGGACCACCCTGGGGATGGTGGCAGCGGCAGCATGGCCTGGGGAAGGGGCAGAGACCCCAAAAGGGGAGAGGGACCAGTGCTCCCAGCATCCGACCGGTGCCAAGGGCAGCAGCAGGGGGCTCTGGATGTGTGGGTGCAGGTAGGGTGGGTTTATGGGTGCTCTGGGTGCAGTGGGGGCACTGGAGGCAGTGGGTCCTGTGGGCAGAGTGGGTTTTAGGGATGGTTTGGGGGCAGTGCGAGCAGTGGGTGCTGCGGTTGTGGGGGCAGTGGGTTCTGTGGGCAAAGTGGGTTTTAGGGGTGGTTTGGGAGCAGTAGGGGAAGCGGGTGCAATGGGAGCAGTGGGAGCTGCATGGGTGCTGGCTACTCACGGGTGAGGAAGCACATGGTGGGTGCCCGGCTCGGTGTCTCCTCCTCTGTGCAGCACGGCCCTGCCCAGCCCGGCCCGGCTCCTCTCACTCTGCCCGGCTGTGCTCATTGATCGGGTGGCATTT